TCGCTCTTGATTTTTCATTTTTCACAAGACATTATGAAACTCGTTATTTATAAATGTCAACTTGAATAATAGCTAGAAAATGGTTGATTATTTATTGCTTGTCTTATTTCTAAGCAAGAAAACAACTGCATAATATTTGATATTGTTGATTGATTGAAGAAGTGAACATGCTGGTTCGTGTAACTGTGGCATGATCTGCAGATGAACATCAGTATTATAGTTTAAACTTATTAACTCAACGAACAACTAGAATTTTCATTTACCAAGTATGAAATTTATCAAAAACTTGAGTCACACATTCTTATCGTTTGTGTTTTCGATGACTAATTCTACATATAATTTATTGAGGTTATTTTTTCACAAGCAATGAAAAAAACAAGTAATCGTGCAATATTTTTTCTATCGTCTTATGAGTCAGACATAGGAAAAAGAAATGAACAAAACTTATCTTGCACTCAAAAATAATAGATCAATGTTATAAGAAATTTTTAGATGAAAAAAAAAAATATTTGAAGAAAAAAAAACAGAATAATTTTTTTTTTATTATTGAATAATTCTTGATTTTTTTATGCGTGTAAATATATTTTGTTTACAAATCGTGATCATCAGTATCAGGTAATGGCTGAGATGCTGCATTGTATATCTCTTGTTCATATTTTTGAACTATTTCCTCGTTGATATCGATTTCAGGTGGCTGCAAATAAATAAAACTATGCTATGAAAAAAAAACAGGGACTTTAAATTATATCAAAACATACTGATAAATTAATTGGATTAACAATTTGAAGTTCTCTAATTCCAGTTAATTTTTGTGCTATCCAAAGAAATGGTTTTTCAAAATTATAATTTGATAGAGCGCTAATATTATAATAGTTCATATTATGTTTTCTATGAAATATTATGGATTCAGCTTGTAATTTTCCATCGTTGACATCGACTTTATTTCCACATAAAACAATTGGAATATTTTCACAAACACGCATTAAATTATTATACCAATTGGCAATATTTTTATAAGTTATAGATGATGTTACATCAAACATTATAATAGCACATTGTGCACCAGTGTAATAATCATCAGGTAAGCCTATTATTCAATAAACAAATGCAAATAATCACTAATACTCATTATTTTAATAGCTTACCGTCAATATTTTCTTGGCCTACTGTATCCCAAACATTAAAAATGATTTCACCCATAGATGTGTAAAAATTTAAAGGATGTACATTCGCACCAATAGCAGCTTCATACTTTTTTTCAAGTTCACCTGCTAAATGTCGTTTAACAAATGTTGTTTTACCTAAAAATGTGCATTATCATACGTTTAATACAATACAAAGAATAATCAAACATACCAACACCACCATCACCGACTAAAATTAATTTAAATTGTAGTACATTTTCTTGATTTATTGCCATTGTTGTACTATCAACACGAAGAATATTTGTAAATGCGCAATAGAGTTATTGATGTGCACACATATGCAAGCATATATCGCAGTCGGGATTGCTATAGTCAACGTTATATCTCGATTGCCTGATTTTTTCTCGTTTACTGTATCGAAACTCTGCGTAATATTTATATGCCATATCAAAGTTACTCTTTTTGTCGAAGTTATTTTCCATGATTTTATTAAAGATCAATAATCAAGAGAAAATCGTTATCATGTTAAGGCATATAATTCAAGTTGATTTTTCAGCTCAACAATACTTATAGCTACATTTATTGATAAACATTTTGAAAAGTGTACATAAAATTGAAAAGTAAAGTCTTTGAATTTGTTTGTGTTTTTTCACCTTTCATCCAAGTCGATGCATCTTGTCCTCGAAATTGTGGTTATCCAACATGAGTCCGCTGGAAAACTCGGAAAAATGGTATGAACTTGGAAGCAGAAATTAGATAATTGAATTCGGTGACCAGGTTCTTCTGGTTCCGATCGAAAACGACTCTAATTGGACAAAACCGGTTGTCGAATCTAGTCATCGGTTTTTTTGCTTCCAACTTCCGACTATTTTCCTGAAATCTGTGGTAGGACACAGCCTCTATTTCTTGATCGGGAGATTCAAAGGTGTAAGAGTGAGACCGGAAGTGGATATGGATGTAGGTGCGGGTGTCGATGTGGTAGTAGATGCTAGAGATGGGATCGATTCTTACTTTTTGAAACTGAAATGAAACGACCTATCTTTTAAAAACTGTGAATCGAACCAATTCAGAACTGGAAGAGCAGTGATCATGTATATTTTGAGATCGGATGTAGATGAGATAGGTTTTCGATTTTTCGGGGCTAAACAGAAGCTAGCTTATGAGATTCTCATTTATTATCTTATTGAATCTTGATCTCCCGTTTATTACGTAGGCTAAATAATATCTAATTTAGAATGAATATCTGCCTTTTATAATTGAGAGTTTATTATAAAACTTCTTACCCGTCGTTGATTGTTGTATTAATTTATTTGAAGATAATGATGTATAATAGATAAATATGTTTTTTATTTATTGATAAAATAAAAACAAAATAACAAAATATAATAATAATGTTGAACAAGATAAACAATCACCGGATAGAAAGAGAAAAAACCAACAACAACAACCGACTGACTGACCACACTCTAAAAAATTAAGACACTTAGATAAGACAGGTCGTGTGTCTATTTTGCATTAATTTTGCTTGAGCGTCTAAAATCGGTCATCCGTTGACACGTGGCGCGTCTTACGAAGACACACTATATGTCTAACAAAAAGACGCATTATCTGTCTCAAGAAGACACGTCACGTGTCAACGGATGACCGATTTTAGACGCTCAAGCAAAATTAATGTAAAATAGACACTTGGACTGTCTTGTAAGACACATGGCATTTTTTAGAGTGCAACGGTACTTTGAGCAACCATAACGAAAAATCAAAGGAAAGATTAAAGAGGATCATATATCAAATAATACAAATGATAGAGTCGGCGTCGTACAGCGCTATCTATTGCCGCTAACATTTCATTCAATGATTAATATATTGAAACATGAACAGCTTTTCGTTCTTCATAAATACAATTTATGACTAGCACCGATAACAATCGTCTTTCCTTTTTGATTGTATCACTTTTTGTTTCTTCATAAATCTTACTCTATTCTGTTCTTTCAACAATTAAATTGATAAATTGTAAAAATATTCTTCTGATTTTCTTTTCTTTTTATGTTCTCTATCTCAAATGGATAAACTTACAATGTTACAATAAACTTGAGACGAAACAATGCAAACATATACAATATTTTCATTGGATAGATATTTTTACAGCAACTATTTCTGTTTATCCACGTGTAAATAAGTCGATTATTTTTGATGAGTATTAATCGTTCTTTTACAATCTTCAAAATAATGTATGTAATAGATAGTGTCCATGGAAATGCGAAAATACTGAATTTCATTCCGTGAAAAATGCAAATTCTAATGACAATACAATGTATGTCGCTTGTTTAAAACATCAAATCATATATCTCTAAAACTCACAAAAGAGTATATTCAATTTTCTATCATACAATAATCTTTGATTTATCTAATTCAATTGATATCCACATTCTAATTGACATGATAATTATATAGGCTATTCCTGTATTCACATTTTAGGAGGTTAGCACAAGCTATAGTATCATTTCATTTGATCTTGTAAACAACTTATTATAGTTCATGATGCAAAAAACGAAGTAGAGTTGACAAACTCGAGTGGGGAATAGTTCGATCACTTGTATGTTGACTGTATTTTAACTTTCGAAATATTAACTATATTGTGTCTAATCTAAAGTCTTTAAGATTTTTAAACCAAGAAATTCTAATAAACATGGAGAACAAACATGCATTCAAAGTCTAATGAAAGCGTCACATCGACAAACAAATGTGTTCAATACAAGTTTTAATAAATTTTTTCTCATAAGTAACTAAAGTTATATCAGGTTGTTTGATATTATTCAAAGAAATATAAGACACTTGCAAATATTGACATACATGATTTTACATGAAGTAAGAAGGAAAAGATCAGTTTCTTCCAAAGATGTCCATCGCAGCTCAAAACCTGTCGCTGCCGCGCCACGGCCAAAACCAAACAAAGCTGTCGCGACGCGATGGCCTGTTAAAAAAAGCTACCGCGTCGCTACCGCGATGGTATTCGAAAAAATGTTTTGATTTTCAAAACTGTGACCGGTTTGAACTAGAACTAATGCCGCTAGTCGATCAGATTCGTTAAGGCCCCCCCCCCCCCCCCCTCAAAAAAAGTCAATTTTCATGAGAACTGTCAAAATTGAGATAAATACATAGGAAAATAGCCCGTCGTCTGCTCTTTCAAAATCAATAAAAATTTTTCCTAAAACCTCCATTTTTTCCCGAAATATTCCAGAATTTCAGAGAACCAGTTTTTGAAAAACCAGCGGTTTTTTGAAATATCCAGAAATGTTTTTCGTTTTTTCTCGATTTATGATTTTTTGATTTTGGTACAAGGATTTCTCAGTCCGGGTCCGTCCAACATATTTAAATTTTTTTTTTGTTTGAAAGAGCGCGTCGAGATGCAGGTCACTACAGAGTCCTTTTTTTAATTAAGCTTTGTTTTTTATTATATATAAAGACACTTATGTGACTGGACACCCATTTTTGGGGCGTTTTTTGAGTCATTGGACTTGTGATCTCCTTTCTCCGCTAAAAAAGTAAGAATCTTAAAAAAAGGACTCTGTAGTGCTCTGCATCCTGACATGCTCTTTCTAACAAAAAAAAAATTTAAATATGTTAGACGGGTCCGGACTGAGAAATCCTTGTACCAAAATGACCTATTTTTGATCCTTGTTTGGTGAATATCTCAGGCAAACATCAAGGTATCGAGCTGAAAATTTTATCACAGCCTCCACACTTCAGCCCCAAGATATGCTCCAAATTTCAGCCCATTTGAACGTACCTGGGCTGAGATCGATTTTTGAGGGGGGGGGAGGGCCCTAAGTCTTACAGTATAGCATGCATGAACATGCAGATTCTGTGCAAATTCATAAATTTTTGAAATTTTTCCTAAAAAAGCTGCCGCAGCCGCGATGGTTTCTGGAAAAAATCTGCCGCCACCGCCATGGCGGCAGCGCCGCGATGGACATCTCTGATGTGAGTAGTGGATTAGATCGTAAAAAAATTCATTGTATTTCATAATTAATTGTGTATGAAAAATACTTATAGATGTAGCTTATAATTGTTTTTATTGCAGTATAAAGAAGTGAATGAATAATACTCAAATGTTTCTACGAAAAAAAAAGAATTCCCGATCGTGTTCATACTGAATATATTTTCACATTGAACGATATCCACAGTTGCACGGGGTCGCGTTCACTTTGCCGACAACTTGTCACGCCGACTATTCTTTTTGGCGACAAACTTTGTTCATATCTTAGCCTACTAAATCTAGTAATTTCCAGGGTACACTGGGAGGAAGTGTATGAACTAGTATCCCGTGAACAAAGGACAAACATACAGATAGAATAGGACAACAAACACGAATAATTACGACATAAAATCTAATTTTTGTATTTTACAAAATTTTTTTTTTTTGTTGAGTTTTTTTTTTTATAAATTTTCTTCTTTTTTTAGATTTTTTAAATTTTTTTTAATAAAGATTACAAATATTTGCAATGAAAGATTATGAGCAATGCCCCGAAGAAAATCGATAGTTGATCTATTATCGCGATCAGCAATAATATTTTGAATTCTGATTTCTCTGTTTACATCTTCTTTGCGTTTCTTTCGAGCTGATTCTCCACGCATTGATTGCTCAATTGCCATTTCAACTTGATTTTGTTTTTTTTGAATTTGTTTAATCATAGTGAAAATGCCAACATGAGGTCGAGCTATTAATGTTTCCCAGCGTCTATGCCAGGCTTCGACTTTGTTTTGGCTTCTTGAAAATGCAAACTCCGTGTTATCGAAGACAGACCACATTTCTGGTGGATGTAATGAATCGTGTCTTTGAACTGTGCCGTTTCTAAATGTTCTTTTTACTCTTCCACATACATAATTATTTTCAAACCACTGAATAATTGGTTCAGCATCAGATGGTAGTAGAGTTTTGACTGCGTCAAAACCATCAGGAATTTCTAAAGGACGTAAAAAAGCCAAAGCAGGAATATGTCTTATAAGAAGCCCAAAGTCGCTGCGCTTACAAGCTTTTTTGGTCAGTTCTGCATCTTGAATTTGTCTGTATACATTATGACCTAAATGAAAATGACAGCCTTTGCTTTTAGCACTTGGAAACTCTGATTTTACTGCATTGATCGAAGCCTTTTCAAAATCAGTTAATACGAAGTCCGGTTTTAATTCCAATCCATTTTCTTCTGCCCATTCATTTAGTTCTTGAAATAATCTTTGATATAATGTTTCGCTTTTCACACTCATTAATGCGTAAACT